AATTCCCGGATTTCCCCCCGAATTCCCGGATTTCCCCCCGAATTCCCGGATTTCCCCCCGAATTCCCGGGTTCCCCGCCCCGGCAGGGCGCGGAAGTCCAACGTGTCGTACAAGAGCGCGGCGCTGCTGCCCAAGGAGCCGCACGTGCGGGAGATGAAGATCTACATCGACAAGAAGTACGAGAGCGTCATCATGCCGGTCTTCGGCATCGCCACGCCCTTCCACATCGCCACCATCAAGGTGGGGATTCCGGGGACTATCCCGGGAATTCAGGGTGGCCGTTTGGGGTCCCACCACACCTGGACGTGGTTTTGGGGTCCCGCCTTAAATTTCAAGGTGTTTGTTTTGGTCCCACCACACCTGGACGTGGTTTTGGGGTCCCACCTTAAATTTCACGGTGGCTGTTTGGGGTCCCACCACACCTGGACGTGGTTTTGGGGTCCCACCATCCCATTCCGGGTGTTTTTGGGGTCCCACCACACCTGGATGTGGTTTTGAGGTCCCACCATCCCATTCCGGGTGGTTTTGGGGTCCCACCTCCAATTTCAAGGTGATTTTTTTGGTTCCACCACCCCTGGACGTGGTTTTGGGGTCCCACCTTAAATTTCACGGTGGCTGTTTGGGGTCCCACCACACCTGGACGTGGTTTTGGGGTCCCACCTTAAATTTCAAGGTGGTTTTTTTTGGTCCCACCACCCCTGGACGTGGTTTTGGGGTCCCACCATCCCATTCTGGTTGGTTTTCGGGTCCCACCATCCTATTCCGGGTGTTTTTGGGGTCCCACCGCACCTGGACGTGGTTTTGGGGTCCCACCATCCCATTCCAGATGTTTTTTTTGGTCTCACCATCCCATTCCAGGTGGTTTTGGGGTCCCACCATCCCATTCCAGGTGTTTTTGGGTTCCCTCCCCCTTCCCGAGCCCGTTTCCCTGCCCCGCCCCTCTCTCCCCACCCCAAATTCCCGTTTTTCCCCACCCCTCTCTGTCCTGACCCCGATTTCCCCGCGTTTCTCCCCAGAACATCAGCATGTCGGTGGAGGGCGACTACACCTACCTGCGCATCAACTTCTTCTGCCCGGGCAGCGCCCTGGGCCGCAACGAGGGCAACATCTTCCCCAACCCCGAGGCCACCTTCGTCAAGGAGATGTGGGTGACCACCCCTGCGGCCGGCCCCGCGGGGCGGTCGGCGCGGCGTGGCGTGGCCGCGGGGTCACCCCGGTGGCCGCTGTGTCCGCAGAACCTACCGGGCGTCCAACCTGAAGCCGCCGGGCGAGTCGACGGTGCCGGCGTCCAACCTGCAGAACGCCTTCCGCATCATCAAGGAGGTGCAGAAGCGCTACAAGACCCGGGAGGCCGAGGAGAAGGAGAAGGAGGTGGGCAGTGGTCAGCTGGTGGTCAGCTGGTGGTCAGCTGGGGGTCAGCCGGGGGTCATCCGGGGGTCACCTGGAGTGGCCGGAGCGCGGGGGTTGAGCGGTCAGTGAGTGGTGGGTGGGTGGTCTCGGAGGGGTGGTGGAGTGGGCATGGAGAGTTGGGTGGTCAGTGAGTGGTCAGTGAATGGTCATTGACGGAGAGTTGGGTGGTCAGTGAGTGGTCACTGGGTGGTCAGTGAATGGTCATTGGGTGGACATTGAGTAACCAATGAACGGTCATTGGATGTCGAGTGACCAATGAATGGTCCAAGGGTGGACATTGAGTGGTCATTGGGTGGTCAGTGAATGGCCAGTGGGTGGACATTGACTAACCAATGAACAGTCATTGGCTGTCGAGTGACCAATGAATGGTCCAAGGGTGGACATTGAGTGGTCATTGGGTGGTCAGTGAATGGTCTGTGGGTGGTCAGTGAATGGTCATTGGGTGGTCAGTGAATGGCCAGTGGGTGGACATTGAGTAACCAATGAACAGTCATTGGATGTCGAGTGACCAATGAATGGTCTGTGGGTGGACATTGAGTGGTCATTGGGTGGTCAGTGAATGGTCATTGGGGGGTCAGTGAATGGTCATTGGGTGGTCAGTGATTGGTCACTGGGTGGTCAGTGAATGGTCATTGTGTGGACATCGAGTGACCAATGAATGGTCCATGGGTGGACATTGAGTGGTCATTGGGTGGTCAGTGAATGGTCATTGTGTGGACATTGACCAATGAATGGTCATTGGATGTCGAGTGACCAATGGTCACTGGGTGGTCAATAAATGGTCAGTGAGTGGTCATTGGGTGGATGTTGAGTGGTCAGTGAATGGTCATTGG